GGCCCCCAACTGGGCCCCCCAACCGGGCCCCCCAACCGGGCCCCCCAACCGGGCCCCCCAACCGGGCCCCCAACTGGGGCCCCCAATCGGGCCCCACAACCGGCCCCCCAACCGGGCCCCCAACCGGGGACCCCAACCGGGGCCCCCAAGCGGGATTCCCAACCGGGGCCCCCAACCGGCCGGAATTGATTTTAATTGCAAATTTAATTGCAATTAAAATCAATTCAATTGATATCAATTGCAATTGATTTCAATTGAATTGATTTTTTAATCTGATTGAATTATTGATTGAAATTTAATTGATTAACGCCTAACACTGGTCGCGGGTGCCATGGACACACACGTAGACAACCACAAATTACATCCAAACTCACGAGAGAAATAAATGTAGGCCATACAAATATTTCTCCCGACCCGGGAATTGAACTTGGGACCTCTGCATGGCAGTCCGGCATGGTAACCGTTCGGCCACAGAGGCAGTAAAAATATTTTCAGTAAGTACTACATTGTGTTATCATAGTTATCATTTAAAAGTGTTATTTTATGCACTAGTATATTATATAGTATTTAATTTATATTTAAATTAATCGTAAATATAAATTACAAAAGCAATCAAAATAATCAAATAACTAACTGTCTCTTTCCGACTCATAGCTTGCGTAAAAGACTGAACGAGACCCAACACGTCAATTTCAATTGTTTCAAACACAAGCGTTTGAAATATTTAGAACAAAAATTTCATAGAGTCGCTTTGATGCTAATGTTATTATTAAAATATTTTTAATACATGTTAGTAATACTTTCAAATATTGTTGTACTCTTTCTACGGCTTGGGGTTACGAATCAGAAGGCCGAAAACACATTTGCCCGAAATAACGTTTGCATGAATTTCCATAATCCCGAAACTATTTTTTTAGGTTTTTTTTTTAGAATATTACAAAACAAACCTAAGCTAACTTAGTCTTTTCTTTGTAATAAGCATCCAAAACTCCCTAAAGCATAACGGTTTTATTATGAATCGGTTTTCAGGATTATGAAAGTTTGGCTTTACGTTAAATTTGAATTAAAAAAAATCTAAACATCGGTACTTTGAATACAGGAATTTATCCAGTAAACATAGCTTGAACTTAAGGAGAAAGTGACAAGTATTAACAGAGAACATCTTACACCGACAAAATGCATTAAAAATCAAAAGTTGGATGAATGACAAAATATACCAACTTAAGAAACAAAGAAGGTAATTGAAGCAGACTGACACTGCAAATTAAATAGGATATTTTTATAAAAGTTTAAGCAATTTGTAGCCTTCACATGCAAACAATGCATAATAATCCAAATAGTACAACCTTGATAGCCTAACGGTTTGCACTGTGGGCACTGGATGAGAAGTTCCCGGGTTCTATACCGGTAGGATCAATTTAACAAATTAACTTTTCTAAATAGTTCTGGTGTTGGTATTCTATTGTAAGACAATCACCTGGTCTGAAACTAGGGAACTCTCTGTACATACTCCCCATGAGTATCAGAACAACAGAATCCCAGAGCAAAACCAATTTACAAAAGTTCATTTCCCAAATTGGTTCTACTGGGAATCGAACCTGGGACCAAGAACGATGGAATTTATTTCGGGGCACAACTCAGAACACCCAGGCCAAAACAACTTTCGAAAAGTTCACATTTATTTTTATAGTCGATTGAGCTGATTTTTTACGGTTTTTAAAAAAATTCTCGAATAACTCGAGAAATCGGGTACGAGAATTCTCGAAACTCAAGAAAAAAACAGCAGACACCCTAACTCGTAAATAATGGCATTGTATAAAATTCAACATTTACATATAAAATTTATTTATAAATAATAAAGGCTACTCCATTATACCTGTGTTCAAATACTTTTCACTAGAAGGGGAATTCCCTACAAATTGGCAACGCTGGATACAAGTCGTAATTCGCGCTCGGGCTGGTCATGGCCGGCATTTGTTTGTTGACAAATAAATAAACATTGTGAAGTAATTCCGTGTTGTGAAATGATAAAAACAATTGAAATGAGCGCGTAAACTACTGTACTTCAATGTAGTGTATGTGTATTGTGCCGTTTATCAATGGAATACAGTGAAATCATTGTGTGAAATGTGGTTGGCGTGAAAAAATAACCTCAATGTTGTAATGAAAATTGTATTTCTACCATCATAAGTTAGGTATGTCATTAAAATATTCCTTATATTTAAATGATAGTAAATGTATCCACCTTTCTAGTCATATTATAACACATTCCATACAATTATGCAGAATAACGTTTTTTTTTTGCGACAAATTGGATTATTTCCAATTGTTTTTTTGACCAAGTGTTTTGAAAAGTGTTTTAATGCATAAAGCGCTCATTATTTGGTAACAGCTTATAAGGGTTTTGTAATACTGTCAAAAGAAACAATCGCTTAGAAACATCGCGTTTTGTAGACAATCATAAAAATCTCATAGGAGGAATATTCTTCGACAAGTTCAACTACACTAAAGCAAGTAAAAATAATCTTTTCGTATTCTAAAGTTTTTCTATAGATCAAGCTATAGACAAAATGTTCCCAACTGTGTTTTGAAAAAAGCTTTAAATTCTTATCGCCATTTTTATTTTCAAAGAATGACTATGAAGTAGCCGAGAAAAATTTATTTTCTTTTTAAAAAGTAAATCTAAGTTGAAAAAGCCTAGAACTTCTTGGAAATGGTTTGTTTTGTGAGTTATTTGGTATATTTAAGCTTACTATAAATATTTAAAACCGAAAATCGATAACTGTATTTTTATTAAGTTTATATTTTATACTTAAATATTTAAAATTTAGCGAGCGCATTACTTTTATGACAGGTTTTACATCACTTTTCACAATGTATTTAAAGTCGCACGTTAATTTGCGCTTTCCAACCGATTAAACATTGCGCGAAAAAGTCAGAAATATTATATCTAATTTCGCCATGTTGCAATTTATATAGTTTATATTTTGTAAGCCATTAAACATGAAGTCTATTAGTATTAAGCGAATTGCGTCCTATGTTTGTAACGCTTTAGTATTTTGGTTTTAAAATAGCATTACTAAGAAAACTATCATAGACTATAAATTATCTAAAAACTGTCTACAAGACTAAATAAAAACTTTCTACATTCTACAAATGGTCTTGTAGCATTCTAGAAGGGTTACTTCAGAAAAAAGATAAGAATGACTCTTAACACTACCTACAGATAGTTTCTCAAAGCACTCTTGTGATCTACTAATAAAGTTGTGCCCACTTTTACTTTAAATTATCTAGAAACCTTCTTTGAGATATCTTGAGGGAATTTGAACTCTTAAAATATTCAATCGAATTAAATTCTATTAGATGTCTTATAGTATATATTTAGATATGGGTGTGCTGCTTGGGTTTGCAGATGTGGCCTATTACGCTAAGGGTGCGATTTTAGGTAACTAATCCCAGCTTAGTAATTAATTTCGGTAGCCCCGGCTAGGCAAACAGACAAGTGTTCGTGTCCAGTCCGATGGAAGGAATTTCTCTTTGTGTTTGTACAGTCATTGAATATATCTATAATAAGGTCTACCGCTTTAACAGAGTCGGTTCCTGAGGTAGCTGCGCGGTGCGGGAGGAGTGACAGTTTACGTAACAGTTATGCACACGGGATAATTACAACAAGATTTTTCTGACGATATTCAATTACAATTTAATTGAAAAAGTACCAAATGGCTTGTCTATGCATTTCAATTATTAATGACTTTTTTTATTATCGTTTCACATCTACTAATTTGGTAGGCATTTTTTACATTTGTGAATAAATTTTAAAATTTGTGAACCAATTTTGAGGACTCTTTTTTTGTTGGAAAGAGGGTTAGGTACCTTGGTTGTATTGGTTCCACATAAATTTGAAGAATATATTCCACCTCTAAGCACCCGGTTACACGAGGCGAAAGAATTCGCGCGGCCGCTCAGTTACCACGCCTTCATGTACATTAATGGCGAATCTGAAACCTATTTACTAGCAACAACATTTAAATTCCTCTGAATAATACAAACGCGGGCCGCCGCGTAGACCAAATTCAAGCTAGGCGTGTTCGTGACGCTCATTTAAGTTAAAACGTAAAAGTTAAGGCAATTAACACACTGCAACGCGCGGCGGAAACGCAGATCTGCGTCAACGCTCGGTTTAATCTGCGCGGGAGCAGCGGTCTAGCCCCCCCCCCCCCCCATTTAAAGTACTCGCTTCGTAGTTGATCGCTGTAGTGATTGTACATGTAGCTGAGATCCTTGTTTGACATGAATGGTTAATAATACAGAACTCCTTCAGAACGCTGCAGTTATATTGTCTATTTGGTTTTTGTTTACTCAAATAAAAAGACACCGAAGATATTGGATACATCCCTTTTTACGAACCAGATAGATAAATGGACCATTTCAACTTCTTTACAAATACCCTGCGGTTCGCCGCGCCCCTCGGCGAAGCGTTGTCGGTGTGCTGGACGGCGCGTGTTTTCCGTACAACCTGAGGTACTTCAGTACAACTTTAAAGAACGCAGCTCCGCGCTTCGTCGCGAGGCGCTGTGTCAATGTAATAGAGCGTATTTTGCCATGACAGTTAGAAGCAGGCGGTCGCTGCGCGGCGGCAACGCGGACTTGCACGAGCGCAATGAAATTCGTGTCTAATAAATGCGCCATGTGGGTGGCAAACTAGGGCATGAATCCGGTTTCGCGCACTTTCCGGTAACAGATTTCAATAAACCTTGGCAAATAGACGTAATTCCACGAACTTTTGAGGTCGGTTCTTTTAGTACTCTGTACTGAGATTATTCTCTAGTATTTATGATGAATTTTTAACGCAGAGAAATAAACTGAATTCAACGGTACCAATTACCAAGTAAGATTTTTTAAACGCTACATGATGGTGTTTGTTACCAAAATTCAGGTTGTATTTTCAAAGGCCAAATACGCGAGTCAAAAGTCAGTATCCAAAAACACTATTTACTTACAGATGGAGGTTGGGCCATGCTGAAATTTGTAACCTTTGTATTTTTTTCAACCAATTTGTAAATGGTGATGCTATAATAGCGCACCTCTAATATATCAAGTATTTATTCTACATTTGCTAATGTTTTATCGTATTTAAAAAAAAACTTATAAATCGCTTTCTATCAAAACTCCAGGTTAACATTTGGAGAAAAATAGACAAAATAGAACAAAGATAACATTTTTAATGTGCCAGCTTCTGTGCTCTTTTCTAGAAAGGAGTTCAGTATTTATTACCTAAATTCTATTAGAGATAATTTATTGGACAATGATAAGAATAAATCTAAAATATATTTAGAAAGAATGGTTGTGATAAAAACGGTCATTCAATCAATATTGTAGTGAAATAATAATGTTTTAACCGACTTTAAAAAAGGATGAGGTTCCCAATTCGGCTGTTTTTTTTTTGTATGTATATTACGCAATTACTCCGACATTTGTGAACCGATTTCGATGATAATGAAATGAAAATGAAGTAAACACGCACCACGATCTTTCCTTCCTCAGTATGTAGAATCATCGTTAAAAAGACTAAATTTAGAGAGCTCAGTTCTATCCGAAAATTATAGTAAAGATTGGAATGAAGATTTTCCATCGTTGCGTTGTCAAATATGAGAATGTCATGGCGGCTGCGTTGGTGAAAAACTTGGTGTTCAAACTTGTAAAACAATCTTGCGTCATTTTTATTGAATATACAATTTACTGGGTGTTCTTTAATTCACATCCAAGAACCCGACATTGGTGACCCCGACGCTCAAATCATAAAAAAAATGGTAGTTTTGTTACAAATGGAGTTTCGGGTTATGAAAAATTGAAAAAGAATTGGCAGTTTATAACTTCTTGGAGTTGTCTTGTGATTCTTGTGGCTTGAGACAACACTGTGGTTGATTTTGTTGAAGAAGAAGCTTAAACTTCAACATCACAAGATGATAATGATTTCATTGATATTGATGATAATTATTTTTTCGATTTATAAATTGTAAAATTAAGAAAAATGTGTATTTGAAAACGCAATCCCATAATTATGTTTTTATTCAGCCACTTTAGGCAATTTTACCTAGAATTAATTTCTTGGAATCTAGCAACTTTTTTTACTTAAAGTTTAACTATTTCCTCCTTGGGCAACGTGGCAACACTACTTATTCAAAAAGTTGACAACCAACGTGAGCTACTACAATTTCTTGAAAACAAGTCTCTATACACTATGTATACAGATGGTTCAAAGACTAAAGATACTGCAACTTCGGCAAAAGGATTACGTGAGAGCTCTTAATTATCGACTGCGGTACAGTCGACAAAAAGCGCGAGACAACGTGAATTCTTCAAAAGAGAAATCTAAAACCCGCTATGACGCACATGCTAAACCGACCACTTATTCTATTGGAGATTTGGTGTATGTGAAATGCCATCACAAACAAAATAAGGCTTTGTCTCCAGTATGGAAAGGACCTTTTAAGGTTGTTACGATAAACGGTAACCATACTGTTACATTACAAATCTAATCGTAAATATGTGCGCCACCATTATGACGAAATAAAGCCCGCCTCCGATCAAACTTAACAAAACCACCTATAACATGCGTATGTATCCATTTCAGGTGGTTACTACCGCTGACAACCAGTAAGTTCGTTACTACTATTCAAGGACTGCCTGTATTCAATAACTGCCTCCGTGGCCGAACGGTTACCATGCCGGACTGCCACGCAGAGGTCGCAGGTTCGATTCCCGGGCCGGGAGAAATATTTGTATGGCCTACATTTATTTTTCTCGTGAGTTTGGGTGTAATTTGTGGTTGTCTGTGTGTGTGTCCATGGCACCCGCGACACAGGGTTTCCCTAGTGCGGGGCTATGTTGATTGTGAGCGTTATTATTATTATTATTAAGGAAGTCCAGGTCTATTCTTCGATAAACTTTTAGACGTTAAATTCACTAATGACAACTGGAATGTTGTCACGTATATTGATGTTAGTCATATTAAACCTAATTTAGATAATGTTGAACTTTTATTTGAAAAAGTGAACTTATTTTGTAACTCTTTTTCGTCATCAAAAATCCTGAACGATTGTTCCAACTCCTTATCAGCCTTACGAAACCAGCATATCAATAATGTAAACAAGTTCTCCTCTATTTCATACTTACTCGTCGATGAGCAGTCCAGACGCCACAAACGCGGTCTTATGGATTTTGGAGGTTCAATTTTAAAAACATTTTTTTGTACCTTGGATTCCGAAGACGCAATAAAATTTACAGATGCTATTGATAAAGTACAGTCAGATGAAAAACAGTTAACTCAGCTGATGAAAGACAACATACATATAATTAAATCAACTATCTCTACATTTAATCAATCTATGTCAAAGGTTAACGAAAATGAAAAACATTTATTAAAAAATATGCAAATGGTTGAAGAAGCATTGATAAAATTTTCTAATTCAAATGACAAATTAGAGATCAAATCACAACTCAACTCTCTAACGAATTCTTTAGAGTCTATCATACTAACACTATCCTTTGACATTGATGACACAAATTATGCAATACTATTTGCCAAATTAAATATTTTGCACCCGACTGTACTCAGTCCGCACCAGCTGTTTAACGAACTTGATAAACATAGAAACAGCCTGGCTAGACACTATGAACTTCCAGTACCTTTAACATTGCAAAATATCCATGAATTGATAGACATTTCTAAGTTAGTATGTTACTATCATTATAACAAAATTGTAATAGTAATTAAAATACCATTAGTGTTACCTCAAACATACAATCTTTACAATGTTATTCCGTTAGCTACACCGTACGATATATCGAAACCCGATACTTACGTCCTTATTGCCCCTACAAGTCCGTATGTAGCGATAACAGCGGATCATATGTTCTACTCATTAATAAAGGACATAGACAAGTGCCAAGTGATCAGTGAAAAGTGTTTCGTGTGTCCTTTGATAAACGTTTACTCCACAATCGCGAATCCGATTTGTGAGACCACCTTTATTATTGAAGTGGTAAAAACCTTACCGAAATCATGTGCTACAAAACTATTACACGGTTCTATAGATGTATTTCATAAATTAAGTAATAACAGGTGAACTTATGTTCAATCCGAACCTGTAAAATGTCACATTAATTGTGAGAATGATCTTGAAAGTAACAATGTCGTCTTATTAACTGCCTCCGTGGCCGAATGGTTACCATGCCGGACTGCCACGTAGAGGTCCTTGGTTCGATTCCCGGGCCGGGCGAAATATTTGTATGACCTACATTTATTTCTCTCGTGAGTTTGGGTGTAATTTGTGGTTGTCTATGTGTGTGTCCATGGCACCCGCGACACAGGGTTTCCCTAGTGCGGGGCTATGTTGAGTGTGTGCGTTATTATTATTATTATTCACAACAGGCGTCTTATCAGTCCCGAAAGGATGTAAGGCCTTTTTTAAAACATTGCAATTTAACCCTACTAGTGAGAGTTTAGTAACAAATACAACTATTAAATTATCAGATTTTAACATCCTAGCTGATGACTGTTGTGAAAAAGAAAAATTAAACAAAACTCTAATGAATCTACCATTCAGTAAGTTAGATAATGTCAACAATTTAGACTCCCTAGTACACGCAAGCCTGCATCTAGATTCATTTGAGCAAGAATTAAACAAGCTGGAAAGTCCGTCACACTTCCAAAAATATGGTGTACATTATATGTCAATAAGCTATATAATTGGCCTAACCTTCTTACTGTATATGTTATTCAAAATCAGGAAAATATTCTGTCGTAACGATCTTGGATCCTGCTGTATACAAATATATAACCAGTGTAATAATAAGAAAGTTCAAAAGAAACCAGGAGTCCAATGTGTAGTTATTAAGAAGAACCTAGATACATCTGATTCATCTTCAGAACCGGAAGAGGTCGGAGCCAAAAGTCCACCACTTCATATTCAGAGAAATATTATTGTAACTACGCCGAAAATTCACGATTACTAACGATTTTTATGTTCATATTATTTAGTTAGTTAGTAAGGTTTATCTTTATGATATGCCAATTTTACCTTAATGTTATTTGCAAAATGTTTTAATATTTTAATAATAAACTAAAATAAACCTTAATTTTAATATTTTTTGTGTCTATGTTTTGCCAAATTTATCGTAATGCTAATTTAGTTTGTAATCATTTTAATTTCAATATTTTTAATTGTTTCCAGACGAGGTTCAAATCCAACTCCAATCTCAGACCAGCTTCACCAATTGGTTACTCTCATCACTTTTAATGTGATGATCGATCTTAAGGAGGGGGTTGTTATATCCCCTTACAGCCGGCAACACATAAAAAACTAATTTGTCGAGCTGTCCTGTTTCCCACCAAAGTTTCCTATTGCATTTTGACGGAATGCAATAGGAAACTGAAAGCGCTGCCGACAGATTGGGTTTGGACGCCGTCGCGATACATCGTTTTAATTGTCATTTCTTTTCCTTAATTTTATAATTTAATAAAAGGGGTGTTTTGGGTAAAAAGTGTTTTTTTAAAAAATGTTTCCTGATCCGCTCCGTAACAGTTCCACCCCTATGTTGTGGATATTCCAAGGATTTGCACGAAGCGTTGCGCTTCCACATTTATATGGCGAATGGGTATGGAGTGGAATTCCCTGCCTGCAGACTTGTTCCCTGAACGTTATGACTTGGACCTTTTCAAGGCGAGAGTGAATAGGCATTATTTGGGTGTGCATGCTCCATCGTCGACTTCATCCTCACTTTCCATCAGGTGAGATGGAAGTTAAATGCGCACTTATTTTTCAATAAAAAAAGTATAATTTATATTTTGTAATAAAGTATATTTTGTTTTTTGTGCATTTATTGTAAGGTAATTTGAGGATAACCAGTTTAAAACAGAGTTCAATCCTAATTGCGCATATTCAAAAACTCTTGCCCAGAGTCAGCCTAGAACGAAAGAGTAGTATCATCTGCAAAGGATGTGACCGT